TCAGGGAAAACCCCCTTCCAAGACTAAGACTCACTGGGAATACATGAGCAGACACATGCTCTGACAGGTGAGTGCTCTGACTGGTGACCTTGTTGGTCACCGATAAGGGGAAATGAGGGAAAAACAGCAATGAAGCTGCGATCTCAGTCCAACCACGTTCAATAGACTTCTGTGAACCCAGGTGGAGACCTAGTTGGCCAGCAGTGTGGCAAAACCTGGGGACTTTTCGGCACAGTCAGTGACATAGCCACAGGAATAGAGTAGAGAGTGAAGCATCCAGCTGATAAGAAGAGAGTGCATATGCATAAGAACATCCACCCTGGCAGATAATACCCACTTGACCTGGCTTCAATGACTGGATGATCAGAGCTCAACTAGAAGAAAGAAGAGGAAAAAAAAAAGAGTAATCTGATACAATTTGATGAACTTAACCTACACCTATGGATGCAGTCGAATTGGGCAGCTAACCTCAAGTTTGGCAGTTCGAAACTACCAGCTGTTTCACAGGAGAAAGGTGAGGCTTTCTGCTCCCATAAAGATTTGCAGACTCGGAAACCCTGTGCAGGGTCACTATGAGTCAGAACTGACTACACAGTACTTAACAACAACATGGATGCAGTAGCCCAAAAGAGGGAACAAATCTTTACAGCAAGGATCATTCCCACTCCTCCATACAGTACACAGAATAGACATGGATGGGTAACCTAGACATTGGCTACCCAAAAGGGGGGTGGGGCTACAAAGGCAAGAACTGACTGGATTATAAACTTTCAAGAGGGAGCCTAGTAGATCCAGAGGGCACGGAGGAAGGTAGCATCTCCACTGAGTAGTATCCAATCTGTCTGGGTGGTGCTAATGAAAGGAGATGGGGATTGGTCCCTTGTGGTACAATGGTTAATAATTGTTATCAGGACTGACTTCAAGGGTTGGAAATGTAAAGGTGGACGTTTTACAGCAAAAGGTGGGGGAGTGACTGACTAGCGGAGGTCTCTGGAACCATCAAGGCAGAAGAGCGGAGTGGGGGACCCTACCCAGAGAAGCAGTGATGCCAGTGATGGAGGCAGAGACAATGACGTGGAGAGATGGAGCAGCTGGGGACTCTAGACCCAGAGGGGGAGAGGGGCTGTGTCCTGATGACTGATGACGGGGTGCTGGGCAGGCTTGCAAGGTATACTGTTTGGTTGGTTGGTTGATGATGCATAGAGGGATTGTAACCATGGCAATGAAATGATATACGATAAGATGAAATGTAAAGCTAATGTTCTCCCATGTAAAGTATCACATAATTCATAATAAAACATTAAAAAAAAATAGAATTTTTTTCACAAACTTTTTGTAGCCCCCTTGCACACTTGTCTTAGCCTTCAAAAGACAAAAAAGGGATATTTCTTGTGGGGGGAAAAATTTCAGGTCAGGGCTAATATATTTTCAAATGAAACTCAAGTGGACATCTCAAATCATTCAAGCTTTGCACAGGTTTATAAGACTACTACTTCTCAAAGTTTTTACATGGATCAAACTTTTTTAAAGTTTATTTTTAAATTTAAACACTAATTTTTACTATTCATTCTTATGAATTTATGCATTCTAACCTTTCTTTTCATGTTCTATGGAATAATTCATTCTTTTATTTTTTTTATTCTCTCTTCCCTCCCACTCGGGGTGACCATCACAGAATGTTTCTTTTAGTAAAAAAGTCTTTTCTTAAATTTTTACAACAGTGGTCTAATACAGTAATTGTCCTTTTGTGCTTGACAAATGTCCTCCAATTTAGTAAGGTATATCATAAATTCATCATTATTCTTCAACTTTGCATCATATTCCATTGTGCATATACACCAGAGTTTGTTAAACTATTCTTCTGTTGATGGGCATTTAGGCTGTCTCTATCTTTTTACTATAGTGAACAGTGCTGTAATGAACAAGGGTATGCATATAAACTGGTGTCACAGCTCTTATTTCTTGAGGATATATACCAATGAAACAAGCATCTTAAAGAAGGTTGGGAAGATCTCAAAGATGAACAAAGAGAGGGAATGGTGTCAGTCTCAACAGTGAAGAAACTGTACCTGAAGTCTAGAAACTGATGGAAGAATGTACACTATCACTGAGCGATAGCTATGTAAGTTGGGGTCTTTGGTTCGACATTTTAAATTTTAAGCAAACAACTTGACCTAAGTAAGCTTTCAGTTGGATGGCTGCCACAAGCATGTGTGAAGATCAGCTAGCTCAAAGAGCTGATCTTTCCACCAGTCTTTTAAGCAAGATCCAAGATGATTTTATCGAATGTATCATAACCACAGATGAAACTTGGATTTACAAGGTCCAATCAAAATGTATCTACAGAGCAAGGTCCAATCAAAACTGGCTTCTGAGAGGATCTGCTGGGCAGTTAAATTGAAGGCAAAGGGGTGAGTTCAGAAGGTTATGGAAACTTTTTTGAGATTTCCAAGTAACCTTGATAGACTTTCTCAAAGGACAATTATGAGGGCTTACTATGAAGAAGTTTAAAGAAAACTGCATTGGAGTAAAAAGGCCAGGAAAGCTAAGATGAGGAATTTTCCCCATCGAGGTTAGTAAGGGTTTTCCTAGGAGAACTTCATTGGGAAACATTACCCCATCCACCCTACAGTCCTGCTCTTGCCCTTCAGACTACTTTTTGTTCCTCAAATGCCAAGAACATTTAATGGAACACAATTTTTGAGTCCCTCAAGGATGCCCAAACTGCTGTACAGGGTCGCTATGAGTCGGAACCGACTCCACGGCACATAACAACACAGGCTTCGTAGATAGAACATTATTAGGTGTAGTCTAGTTGGTTCCAACTCACAGGGACCCTGTGTACAACAGAATGAAACCCTGGCTGGTCCTGCACCATCCTCACAGGCATATGTTTGAGTCACTGCTGTAGCCACTGTGTCAATCTATCTCGTTGAGGGTCTTCCTCTTTTTGGCTAACTTTCTACCAAGTATGATGTCATTCTCCAGGGACTGGTATCCCCTGATAATACGGCCAAAGTCCATGAGACAGAGTTTTACCATCCTTTCCTCTACAGAGATTTATTCATTCTTCTGGAAATCCATGGTCTATTCAATATTCTTTACCAACACCATAATTCAAAGGCATCAATTCTACTTTGGTCTTCCTTATTCATTGTCTGGCTTCCATATACACGTGAGGCAATTGAAAATTGCCTTAATTCTCAAAGTAACTTCTTTGCTTTTGAACACTTTAAAAAGGTCTTTTGCAGCAGATCTTCCCAAAGACAATAGGTAGTTGTCTTCCAAATTTTTTCGCATAGAGGATAAGTGCTTCCAGCATTGCATCCATTTGTTGAAATATTTTAATTGGTATCCCATCAATTTCTGGAGCCATTTTCCATCAGTGCTTTCAGTACAGCTTGGATTTCTTCCTTCAGTCCTATCAATTATTGATCACATGCTACTCCTGAAATGGTTGAACTCATTTTTTTAGTACAGTGATTAGGTAGTCCTTCCCTATTCTTTTGATGCCTCCTGTATCTTTCAACATAATAATATTAAAATCTCCAATATTGCAACTCCAGGTTTGAAGTTCTTCTTCAGTTCTCTCAACTTGAAAAATGCTGAATGTGTTCTTTTCTTTTGGTTTTCTAATTTCAAGTCTTTACACATTTCATTACAATACTCTGTCTTCTCAAGCTGCTCTTTGAAATCGTCTGCTCAGCTCTTTTATGTCATTATTTCTTCCATTTATCTTACCTTCTCTACATTGAGGAGCAAGTTTCAGACGTTCAATTTGATCATTTCTTTCTTTCTTATCTTTTTAATGACTTCATATATTATGTGCTTGATGTCATTCCACAACTTGTCTGGTGTTAAGTCATTAGTGTTTAATATGTCAACTCTATTCCTAAAAAGGTCCCTAAATTTAAGAAAGGTATACTCACAGTTATATTTTTGTGTTTGTGGATCTGTTTTAATTTTCTTTAGCTTCAATTTCAACTTCCATATGAACAATTAATGGTCTGTTCCACTCTCAGCCCGTCTTTGTTATGACTAATAAGCTTCTCCATCATCTCTTTTCTATAAATGTAGCTGATTGAATTTCTGTGTATTTCATTCAGTGAGGTATGCTGTTAAGTGCTATTGATTCAGTTAGGATTTCTGAGGAGCGGCTGATAGATTTGAACTACCAACCTTATGGTTAACAGTCCAGTGCATATCCTACAGTGCCACAGAATTCCATTCTACATGTATGGTAGTCATTTATGTTGTTGAAAAGAAGTATTTCCAATGAATTACAAAATTCTGTATTGTGATCTTGGTTATCTGGTCTATCACCAAAGTCATATTTTCCAAATACAGATCCTTCTTCATTTCCAAGTTTTCCAACCCAGTCACCAGTAATTATTATGTTTGATTGTATGTTTGATCATTTTAGTCTGCAGAAGTTGGTAAAAACCATTAATTTCTTCATCTTTTGCATTAGTGGTTGCTGCATAAATTTGAGTGATTATTATTTTACCAGGTCTTCCTTGGTTAGTATCCTGTCACGGGCAGTGTTGTACTTCAAGACAGACCTTGAAATGTTCTTTTTGAAGATGACTGTGACACCATTCCTCTCAATTTGTCATTCCCAGCATAGTAGACCATATGATTGTCTCATTCATAATGGCCAATACCATCCCATCTAAGCTCACTAATGCCTAGGATATTGATCTTCCAGTGTTCCACTTCAGGATGAAGACAGGTTAAATAAATGTGGAACATCAATTTTAGAGACAGTGTAATCATAAACTGTTAAATGATTTAATTCCTCCACAAAGAATACTATATACATCCCCCATTCTGGTGCAGTTGCCTATTAGTTTAGGTTCAAACATTTATTATAAGCAACTTACAATATAAGTGCCAGGTGCTGTCTTAAAATCAAACTATTTGTGATTTTGCAAAAAATAAATCAAAGTGGGAAAAGGGTATAAAAAAAAGAAGTAGTAGAGGTACAAACACTGTCCCACCTGTGAGGTAAAGGTCGGCTTCCACACCCTGCAGAACACTGCTCCCAGAACCAGCACACAGGGCCACGACTTTGATTTGGGACTCTTCACAGTAAAGAGAAAGAAAAACCAACACGTTACAATGTCCCATTATTTTAATATAATTTGTACTGAGCATTCTGAATGAAATGCAGGTTTTATTCCTTGTCTCATTACCACTATATGAATTTACATTCATGTAAACATATGTATAAATGATAATTCATGTACTCCACTCTAGACGTTATTACAGTGTTGCTAAGCTAAATAATTTAACCTGGGTCTCTAGACAACAGTGAGTGACAGGCAGGTAACTCTATTCTCAGTTGAGGAATCTGAGAAATGAAAAGGGCTCCTGAGAAAGAGTAACAGCATTAAAAAACAAAACAAAACTAGTGTTGATACGCAAAGAGCATTCCCTAAAAAGTGAAATAACAGAAACATCAGGCTAAAATCTAACAAATTGCTCCTCGGAAACCCTTTACAGGGCCACTCAGCACTTAAGTTTCTAGAATGGACACTCTGTTAGTGCTCACTCCAGTCTGGCATCATGGTACTTCAAAAAAAGTCTTGACAAATACTGTTGAATGATGATTCATGGAGGAAGTTATAATCATCGCAATGAAATGAAATACAATAGGATGAGTGCAAAACTGATGTTCCCCCAGGTAAACTTCACTCAATTCACAATAAAAACTTTTTTTTAAAAAAAGGCTGTGAGTGGGATCAGAAGTCAAATCCTACCTCTGTCATCATTTTCTTTGAAAGTTAATTCCCACGAGTTATTTAATCTGATTGTGGACTTTTGGAATAGTTGAGCTCTCTGAAGCTCGATTTTTCTCCCATAAAGTGAGACTATCACCTCTGATATAGTTAATAGGAGGTAGCATTTACTGTATTGATGTGTACCAGTGTATCCCACGGGTTACACTCCCACTTCTATGAGGTTTTAGGATTAATGCAATTTTACAGAGGAGGGAACTGAGACACAGAAGGGTTACATAAATTGCTCAAAATCATAGTGTAAATAGTATAAACACGAACCAAAGTTGTCTGACTTCAGAATCCACACTCATAACCACTATGTTCCACTCTTTGCAGTGGAAACATACATACTTAGGACACTTAGCACAGTGCTAGGCTCAGTGCAGGCTCTAATAAGTGTTTGTTCTCAGAAGTGCTGGGAAGAGTGAAAAGAAAAGACAGGGGCTACGAGTCAGAAACTGCAATGGATCAGATCACTTAGTAGTGCTTCATTATACAACACTGGTATCCTGGTGTGGCGCTGCAGGATAATGCACTAGACTGCAAGGTCAGTTTGAACCATAAGGTTGGTGGTTCAAACCCACCAGTCACTCCTTAGAAACCCTTTATGGGGACAATATGAGTTGGAACCGACTTGACAGCACTTAACGACAACAACATACAAATTACCAGTATGTAAACTTCAAGATTTATGTTGTAACTGTAAGGATCATGATTTCCAGCTCTCTTCCTGGCACATGGTAGGACTGCACTTCACTCCCTCGATGGGTTGTGCTGGGCAATTTACTAATTCTGGATATGAGCTGAACAAGTAACATATATCACTTCTGAGCTAGAGATTTTAATTTATGGTTTAAGATCCTCCACTCTTTCTCCCTCTGCAACATGAACCCATTTGCAAGCAGCAAACTTGACTCGAGGTGAACATGCAGCGTGACGAGTGTGGTTTAAGCCTCTGAGCTGGATTCACAGTAAAGCTCACCAGTCAGTAAACTTAATACAACCAAGAGTTCTCCTTTGCCCAATGTGAACAGTGGATTCACTGGCAAAATAATGGGATATATTTACCTAAGGTCCTCCCTGCCCCAAGACCAAGGCGGACATGAGACAGTTTTAGGTGTTGCTTGATTCTCTCAATCATGGTTGCCAAGGAGACAGACTCATCCAGTGTACATATCCGTCCCATTCCAGTGTGCTGAAGCAGAGGCTGAAGAGAAATTGAAGTTAGAAGCATTGCTATAGAACAAAAAAACATGTCAACCAAAAAACATTCACACTGTGAGCACCAGGCTAAAGTACAGAGATGCAAGCAAACCTGATAAAACTTTCTTTGACATCGAGCACACAGCTTCCTGGGAAGGCAGACATTTAAATACATAATCACAATTAAAGAGTTTTAATACAAGGCAAATGCAATTGTTATGGGAAAACAAAGAAATGACAAACTAAATGACTTGGGATTTTGGGTAGGGGAAGCCTAGAGGAACTGGGATCAAAGGTTTCAGAAGGACTGGGGTCTTGAATCAGAAAAGAGTTCATAAAGGAATGAAATAAAATGCAGTGTGGCAGCATAGGTGAGACAAAAAAAATGCAAAGACAAAAATGTACAAAGAGACCAGGAATTCGAGTACACAGTGACAGCAGGTCTAAGGTAGGCAGCATGGATGGTGTGCAGAGCATATGGAGGAAGGAGTAGAGCTACAGGCATAAGTCACAGTCAGATCACACTGGTTTTCGCATTCTATGCTAAATGCTTGGACTATTAATATTCCAAGTGAAGGAAGATGCAAGTTTCAGCTAATATGGTGGCAGAGGTAAGAGAGAGAAGAAAAAATTTAACAGACTTGGGTACAGAATTAAGAGAGCTTTTGATGAAGCAGGAGCAGTATTGTGAAAGCTTAAAATAATATAGTAGATGACTATGCCACCAATTAAATAGAAAATAAAAAAATTTAAAAGGAGGGGAATGGCAGCTAAAATAAAGTGCATTTTTAAACTACACTGAATGAGATACATATGGGACTTTTTAGTGGACAATGTTGAGAGTCGTTGGAAATGTGTTAGTTTGCTTGTTCACACTGCAGAAAGCATTCTGAGTCAAAAAGTAAATATGTAGGAACCATTCAACATCACATGCATGGTGATCAAGTTAAAGGAACAGAGGATCTAGGACAAGAAAAATCTGTGTCTGTAATCTAGAAGAAATAACATTTCCCTATTCCTAGAATACTCCCTAGTATGTTTTCTAAGGTACAATATGCTCTCTTTATGTTTTTTAGGTAATAGTTAATAGTCTGTTATGGCAGTTTACAAGTGAATTTACTGAACAAAAATGTATAATAATATAAAATCAAAGATAAGAAATTGTATTAACCTTCTCCAGTGACAGAATTTCCGTCTTCTGGTAGAGTTGTCTGTTTTGGGAGAGCAGTGCCACCACCTGCAGCAGAGCCTTCTGAGTACAATTCAGACTGAGCCGTGTATGCTCTTCATCATCAGTCCTAAGGGGAAAGTCCTCCTTGGTTTATGACAAATACAAACAAAATGTATTTTACAGAACCCACAGTTTACAAACTTGCTTTAATAGGACACAAGGCTTATAAGGAGCTAGGGCTTTAGCCAACAAACCCCATACAGTGGTTCTTATATTTTAGTGTGTAACAGAATCACCTAAAGGACTCAAGGGAACAGATTCCTGGGCTCCATCCCCCAGAGCTTCTCATTCAGTAAGTCTGGGTAAGGCTGCAAAAGAGTCTAACAAGTTCCCAGGTGATAGGTTCATTTTTCTGATCTAAGATCATCATTTGAAACCACTATTCTAGGATTGTTCTTAATCCTGATTGTTTATCAGAAACCCCTTGGAGTTTCTTAAAATGACAGATGCTGGACCCTTCCTTCCATAAATCTGGTAAAAGAGAACATCTACAATTGGGGCTAACGCACTTTTTAAACTTTTTAAAGCCCTGTTGTTAATTGCTGTCAAGTCGGTTCCAACTCATAGTAACCCTGTATAGGGTTTTCAAGAAGCAGCTGGTGAGTGTAAATCACTGACCTGATGGTTAGCAATCCAGTGCTTATCCTTCAGCACCACACCAGAACACCTGTTGTGCTGATGGGTCGGTTCTGACTCAGTGACCCTGCACAATGTTTCCAAAGAGTAGCTGGTGGATTTGTGCTTCAAATTTCAGTGCTGAGCCTATAGTGCCACACCAGAAGTTAATTTTCAAGCCTTATTTAATACAAAAATCTCCTGGGCAAACCTCATTTTAATTACACAGGTCTGGATCCTGGTGTGGTGCTATAGGATAAGCACTGGACCACAAGGATGATTTGAACTGCAAGGTCAGTAGTTTAAACTCACCCTCTGCTCCTTGGAAACCCTATCATGGTAGCTATGGGTAGGAACCGACTTGACAGCACTTAACAACAACAGAATAAATCCAGAAATCTGTATTTTTAATAAGCATCCTATTAACAATAGCATGGAGGGCCTCCAAGAAACAATGCCATAAAATATTTCAAAAAATATTGGCATCGAGCTGGAGACTGAGACTTCTGGCAGGATGACAGTCGTGGCAGACACACTACAAAGATCTTCTACAACAAAGATGCAAAAGATTGACTAAAACAGATAAGGGCAATAGTCCTCGAACCCTGAAATTCAGAGGAAAGGATAGAGAAGTGAAATGAATACCAACTAGAAGAAGCTGAACAAAAGTAGTGAGAGAGGAGACAGGTGGGTGATGTGTCAGTCGGTCTGATGCAGTGTGACCATCTCAAACCTTAACAAGCAGCATTCAAAGGAGACAGCAGCCTGACAACACAAATGGATACCAGTGGCTGGTGACAAGAGAGATGTGATTTTCCCTTGTATCCCCACACTCTCCTGAGAACCAGAAGCATGGTTAGTTCCACTCTCACCTATACCCTGCATAGCTCTGGCTCTACCAAAGCTTGAAGCTGTACCATTGTGAAATGGGCGCCCAATCTGGAGGCTTAAGAATTCCAGCTCATCAGACCAGCAGAGTGCAGTGTCGGATACCCTGGTTACCCCTAGGCAAACAGAAACTCCATCCATAATCAGCACCTCAGACCCCATCTGCTCTCTGGGCTCAAGAGAGTTCCCTTTGAAGGCAAGAACCCTGCACTTCCAATATTCTCCTCCAACACTATAACTCAAATGCATCAATTCTTCTATAGTTTTCCTTATTCACTGTCCAGCTTTCGCATGCATATGAGGTCATTGAAAATACCATGGCTTAGGTCAGGTGCACCTTAATCCTCAAGCTGACATCTTTGCTCTTTAACACTTTAAAAAGGTCTTGTGCATCAGATTTGCCTAATGCAATATGTCATTTGATTTCTTAACTGCTGCTTCCAGGAGTGTTGAAGAATGAAGTCCTTGACAACTTCAATTTTTTCTCCGTTGATAAGAATGTTGTTTATTGGTCCAGTGGTGAGGATTTTTGCTTTCTTGACATTGAGCTACAATCCCTACTGAAGGCTGTGCTCTTTGATCTTCATCAGTAAGTATTTTAAGTCTTCTTCACTTTCAGCAAGCAAAGTTTGTATCATCTGTATATTGCAGGTTGTTAATGAGTCTTCCTCCAATCCTGATGCCACGTTTTTCATTTATTCCAGTTTCTTGAATTATTTGCTCAGCATATAGATTGAGTAAATATGGTAAAAGAATACAACCCTCTCGCACACCTTTCTTAATTTTAAACCATTCAGTGTTCCCATGTTCTGTTCGAACAACTGCCTCATAGTCCATGTACAGGTTCCTCATGAGATTAATTAAGTGTTCCAGAATACTCATATTTTGTAATGTTGTCCATAACTTGTCATGATCCAATCGAAAGCCTTTGCAGTGTCAATAAAGCACAGGTAAACATCTTTCTGGTATTCTCTGCTTTCAGCCAAGATCCATTGGACATTAGCAATGATATCTCTCGTTCCACATCCTCTTCTGAATCCAGCTTGAACCTCTGGAAGTTCTCTGTCGATGTATGCTTGCAGCTGTTTCTGTATTACCTTTAGTAAAACTTTACTGGCGTGGGATATCAAAGAGACTGTCCGATGATTTCCACATTCCGTTGGGTCACCTCTCTTTAGAATGGGCACAAATATGGATCTCTTCCAATCAGTTGGCCAGATAGTTGTCTTCCAAATTTCTTGGCATAGATGAGTGAGTGTCTCCAGTGCCACCTCACTTTCTTGAAAGATTTCAATCCCATCAATTCCTGGTGCCTTGTTCTTTGCCAGTTCCTTGAATGCACCTTGGACTTCTTCCTTCATTATTAGTGCCAACTCATACCGAACCTACATAAGGTTTCTGAGGCTGTAAATCTTTGCAGGAGTATAAAGCCTCGTCTCTCTTTTGTGGAAAGGTTGGTGAGCTCAAACCACTGATCTTGTAGTTCGCAGTTCAATGCTTATCCTATGGAGCCACCACACTCTCATGCTTAACCATAAACTAATATAAAATAACAGAATTCTAGAACTAAATGTAACTGGATAGCACTTAATACCAAGAACCAAATGACACTAGAATGATAATTTGTCAGAGCAGCTTTTAACATGAGAATTATCTGTCAAACTCTGGGGAAAAAGATACAGATACAATGCCTGGATTTCAGTCTAATGGTAAAACTCCAGCAGTCCTCTATAAAGTGGAAAAACTGGAAACAAACTAAATGTCTATTGGTTTAAAAAAAATAATAAAGTCTACCTGTAGGAAAAAGAATGTTTCAAGAAATATGTGGATAAAATATATCCATAGTAAGAAAGACTGCATAGTAAGTAGCCTTATAAAAATGAGATAAGCCTGAGGGACCCAGCATTCACCGAAGACCCACCTGAAAGAGGGATGCCATCTGCATTTCCATTGAGG